CGCCAAGGCCGCCGCCAAGAAGCCGAAAAAAGCAGCGGCCGGCTCCAAAGCCCGCAAGCCCGCGGGGCCCAGCGTCACCGAGCTCATCACCAAGGCCGTGTCCGCCTCCAAGGAGCGCAAGGGGCTCTCCCTCGCCGCGCTCAAGAAGGCGCTGGCTGCCGGCGGCTACGATGTGGAGAAGAACAACAGCCGCATCAAGCTGGGGCTCAAGAGCCTCGTCAGCAAAGGCACCCTGGTGCAGACCAAGGGCACCGGTGCCTCCGGTTCCTTTCGCCTCAGTAAGAAGCCTGGAGAAGTGAAGGAAAAAGCTCCCAAGAAGAAAACAGCCGCAACCAAGCCCAAGAAGCCGGTGGCTAAGAAGCCCGTCGGCACCGCCAAGAAGCCCAAGAAGGCAGTGACAGCGAAGAAGAGCCCCAAGAAAGCCAAGAAGCCGGCAGCCAAGAAAGCAGCCAAGAGCCCCAAAAAGGCAACAAAGGCTGCCAAGCCCAAAAAGGTAGCGGCAGCAGCGAAGAGCCCAGCGAAGGTGAAGGCGGTAAAGCCGAAAACAGCAAAGCCGAAGGCAGCCAAGCCGAAAACAGCCAAGGCGAAGAAGGCAGCCCCCAAAAAGAAATAAGGTTCCCGGGGAAGAAAAGTCGTCTACCGCACTTAAAACCCAACGGCTCTTTTAAGAGCCACCCAAATTTTCTCGAAAAGCGCTGAAATAAGATTTGTTTCCAAATAGTTTTGGTATAGTGTGTTGCACATGAAACCCCACGAAGCGCGTGCCGTGATTGCACCCCGAGATGCGTTAATCGTTACCTTCCGACAAAACGTTCAATCCTGTGGATTGTGGATAGCTTCAGGGCAGCTTAAGTACTCAGCTACTTAAGGCTCTACCTTGGCCGTATGACCGGTGCTTAACCCTTTCTTTTCCGCAATGTGCTAGGCTACTGTAAAGGGGATAGAGGGTTTTCCCTAAGTGGAACAGATGGATTTATTAAATTCACAACATCACTAACAAAACAGTTTGTAAATTCAGTCATCGATATAAAATTATTTAAAAAGCACTACTGACATTCTCTAAATATTTTTCAAAATCGCTTAAAAGCAATTTAGCTCTTTAGTGATGCTGTAGGTGGCTCTGAAAAGAGCCTTTGGGTTTCTGTTGCTCAGATTTTCCTGGGCGTTGCTCTTCTGCGCTTACTTGGCTTTGGCCTTGTGGCTGTCGGTCTTCTTGGGCAGCAGCACGGCCTGAATGTTGGGCAGCACGCCGCCCTGCGCGATCGTCACCTTGCCCAGCAGCTTGTTGAGCTCCTCGTCGTTGCGGATGGCGAGCTGCAGGTGGCGGGGGATGATGCGCGTCTTCTTGTTGTCGCGGGCCGCGTTGCCCGCCAGCTCCAGGATCTCGGCCGTCAGGTACTCGAGCACGGCCGCCAGGTAGACGGGCGCGCCGGCGCCCACCCGCTCGGCGTAGTTGCCCTTGCGCAGCAGGCGGTGCACGCGGCCCACGGGGAACTGCAGCCCGGCCCGCGACGAGCGCGACTTGGCCTTGGCCCGCGCCTTCCCGCCCTGCTTCCCGCGCCCGGACATGGCAGCCACTCAGCAAATCGCCGCTCGCTCCGCAGCCCCAAAAGCCTCCGTAAGTCCCAGCCCAGCCCGCCCGGCGCTTTATATACAACCCGGGCGGAGCGGCAGCGCCTGCTCCGATTGGCTGCAAGAAAGGAATCCTTCGGCAGCCAATGGCAAGGCGAATTCACAGGGGGCCAATGGCAAAGCCGGCCGCGGGGCGAACCAATAGCGACGCGACGCTGGCAACAGCACCGCTATAAAAGCAGCTCCCGCCGCCTCTGCGCTGTCGTCGGTTCCTTGTTTGCTGTTTTCGTGTGTTGCGAGTCGGTCGCGTGTCCGCAGCCATGCCCGAGCCGGCCAAGTCCGCGCCCGCGCCCAAGAAGGGCTCCAAGAAGGCCGTCACCAAGACGCAGAAGAAGGGCGACAAGAAGCGCAAGAAGAGCCGCAAGGAGAGCTACTCCATCTACGTGTACAAGGTGCTCAAGCAGGTGCACCCCGACACGGGCATCTCCTCCAAGGCCATGGGCATCATGAACTCCTTCGTCAACGACATCTTCGAGCGCATCGCCGGCGAGGCCTCGCGCCTGGCGCACTACAACAAGCGCTCCACCATCACCTCGCGGGAGATCCAGACGGCCGTGCGGCTGCTGCTGCCTGGCGAGCTGGCCAAGCACGCCGTCTCCGAGGGCACCAAGGCTGTCACCAAGTACACCAGCTCCAAGTAAATAGCTGCTAGAAATACTGTAAAACCCAAAGGCTCTTTTAAGAGCCACCCACTTTTTCAAGAAAAGGGCTTTAATTTCTATGTTTCTGTTGTAATTTTACTTGTAGTGTTGTCTGATTTGCTTACTGATCAGTGTTCAATCCCAACGATTAAAACAGTTCAGTATTAACAGAAACTGCATCTATATCCTATTAGTGCTTTTTACACTTGTATCTTGACTGCTTTTTCTGGCAAGGTTTACCCTACCTATTGTGCGTAGGCTGCTTAAATTACCAGCTCTTGGTAAGGCACCCCGGCTGTGCCATCCACATCCTGCTTACTGTTGAAGTACGTTCTCTCCCCAGCTCAGGCTGTTTTCAGCCCCGGTCAGTCCCTTCTCCCTGTCTCATACCATGGACATGTTTTCAAAGACATATGTATGCCAATATAGCTTTTTTTGTTGTTCTATATTTCGTTGGTCTTTCCAATCTGGGGAAAAAAAAAACTATTAAATATATGCCTTAAATGATTAACAAAGCTGTTTGCTAGTATTTAGTTTTATTATTCTAAGGATCCTAATAATAGTTTGTTTAATGTCTTCAGAACAAAATTGCATTCATATAAAGCGATTTCTTAGGCCCTGCTGCCCCCTTACAGGGTTATTTGAAATTTCGGTCACTTTACGTTTTGCAGCGTCGGGCCCTCAGAAATATACGAAAAACTACAATTACCGATGGAAAAATTGTTTCCAAAGGATACTATACAAGTGGAACTTAAAAGACCTAGAAAGACATAGAGGACTGAAAAGTAAACTGACAGAAAACACAAGCGAGTAATCTGCAAATGAAAAAGTTGGTGGCTCTCAAAAGAACCACAGCCTGGCAGCCACGCAGACCCAAAGGCTCTTTGAAGAGCCACTAAGTGCACAATGAAAAGACCTGTAGCGCTGCTTTGAAACAACCAGGGTTTTGTAATATTTTGTAGACTGTAATGTTTGACTTTTAATGGTCCCAGACCTTTATTTTTTTTTAGTGTCTCATTTTACTGAGCATCCTGCATATAAACAATTCTCTTTTATAAACCACGTAAGGCTCTAAATTTTCTTCTTTGTAATTCATCTGCAGTCCTTTGCAAATACTGGAGGGTGTAAAAGGTGTTTTATGAGCACCGGATGGGGAAGGGAGACAAAACTGAAACGAGGAAATGTGAGGATAATATATTAGTTTAAAAGAGATAAGCAGAGAGCCTCAGACAGAGTAGAGGAATTTACACCCCTGTGACTGTGACTGTCTCGATACACCTTCAAGGAAGGAGATGGGGGTGGTTAGAGAAGAAAGCCAAAGAACTCGGCACTTTTAACCCTTTGTCTGTCAAGTAAAAGCTGCAGCGTCCTAAAACTGTTACTGTAGCACCCAGGACAATTACTTAGGAGTTTATAAAAAGCTCTTTCTACAGATCGAGCAGTAGCTCTTAGAAAAGACTGTCCTTCTTTAACTATTATACTGACATTTATCCACTTTTGACTTGTTTCTCCTTCCATACCCAATAATTGTGCAGCAATTTTAATGAGCGAATCAGCTCTTTTCGTTGTGCACGTAGGGGCTCTTAAAAGAGCCTTTGGGTCTGTGTGAGCTGCCTCTGTGCCTTGCCGGGAAAGGGCTGCGGCAGGAGACTCAGGCGCGCTCTCCGCGGATGCGTCGGGCGAGCTGGATGTCCTTGGGCATGATGGTGACGCGCTTGGCGTGGATGGCGCAGAGGTT